GATAGAGATTATTTTCTAGAAAAAATATTATCAAAATTGATTCACAAAGACATAAAGTATTTAAATAAAATTTTTCTAAAAATTCATTCCACAAAGAAACAAAAAGTATTATATCCAGTGATTTTATAAACTATATTGTCCTAACCTTTTAGGAACCAGTAAAATGAATGATAAATATGTCAAAGCATTGAAAAAGAGTAGCTTATAGAATATTAGCTATAAAGACATATAAAAATACCTGAAATATGCAGTCCAAAAAGGAAAACTATAGATCAATTTCACTTAAAATTATTAACATAAAACTATATAAATAAATTATTAACAAACAAAATCTATATGCATATTAACAGAATATCACAAAAATGATTAAATGGGGTTTCTACCAAGACAATTCTGATATACAAAAGTATATTAATGTAATTTACCATATTAATAAATCAAAATGAAAAATCATACAGGCTTCTTTGTGAATAGATGCTGCAAAGATATTTGGTAAAATTTAATGTTGATTCTAGATTAAAATAAAACTCTTAATAGAAAGGCAAAGATAAATATATATTTATATCTTCAACCGATGCTCAGCATGATGCTTAGTGGGAGAAATCTTAGAAATATCCCCCATTCAGACAGAAACAGCACAAGGATATCCATCATCATCACTATCATGATCATCACAGCATCAACATCATACCATCATCACTACCGTCACCAACATCATCACCATCATCAACATCATCAATATCATAAATATCATCACCATCACTATTGTCATCATCACTATCATATTGTCATCACCACCACCATTATCAGCACCAACATCATCATCACCATCATCAACATCATTACCATCACCACTTACCATTCTTTTCTAGAGACTTTACATGTTTTAACTTAATTTTTCCACACAATACTACAAGACAGATGGAAAATAATTTTTTCTGTTTATAATAATTATTTAAATGTTTTCTATATGTGCTAGCCTGTGCAATTAGATTAGGCAAAAATAAATACAAAATTCTAAAATGAACTGTTTTAGTAAGCTTTTTCACTGTTGTGACTAAAAGGACTTATCAAAATAACTGTAGAGGAGAAAAAGTTTATTTAAAGGCTCACGGTTTCAGAGGTTTTTAGTCCGTAGAAGGCCAGCTCCATTCTTCTTGGCTTGCGGTAAGGCAAAATATCATGGAGGAAGAGTGTGGCAGAGGGAAGTAGCTTACATGGTGATCAGAAAACAGAGAGAGAGAACCCACTCTCAATATACAAAATATATACCCCATAGCCATAAGCCCAATGAACCACTTCCTCCAGCCACACCCAGCCTGCTTCCAGTTACCCCTGAATTTCTCACATCAGGAATTAATTCACTGATTAGGTTAAGGCTCATTTCTCCTCCAAACCTTCTTTTGCATTGTCTCACACATTAGCCTTTGGGGGAAATCTCCTATCTAAACTATTACAGGAACAGTATTTTTTTATTTAAAAATTTTTTAATTATATAGTTGGACAACACATAATATTAAAACAAAAAGTTGTTACAACCAAAAATTTTAATTACTAAATTCAAAGTCAATATAAAAACATTTTCATTTGAAGTTTTGTTTTGGTATTTTATTTTATTTTATTTTTGTACCAGGAATTGAACCCAGGAACAATTAACCACTGAGCCATATCCCCACCCTTTTTATTTTTTTATTTTGAGTTGCTTAGGGCCTGGATAAGTTGCTGAGCATAGTCTTGAACTTGGGATTCTCCTGCCGGCTTCAGGCCTTCCAAGTCACTGGAATTACAAGCCATTTGAAGTTTTGATGGACAAGCTTGTATCAAACTTCCTTACAAGAAAAACTAGAAATTTGGGTAATATAAAAACCAACATTTGTTTGAAAGTATGAGAAACTATTAGAGCAAGCAGGACCTGAGGAAGTAAGCTTCTCCTAGAGCCAACTAGTTAATGACATATATTCAATTATGTATTAGCAGCACCGGGTCTAATACTGCAAATTGAGCAGAAAGGAAGGGGTATAAGGCTGAGGAGCTGAGCAAAAGTTCTTGTAGCCTTAAAGAACTGAAGAGGAAAATCCTGGACTCGACAAGGCAGCTGAGATGTGAGAATCAATGGGAATTTCATTCTCAGGAGAAATGGAATGGTATTAAGATTGATTCAATGGGAATCAACCTAACAAAAGAGGTGAAAGATTTATACAATGAAAACTACAGAACCCTAAAGAGAGAAATAGAAGAAGATCTTAGAAGATGGAAAAAT